GATGTGTTTTTTTATGCCCAGCGTGATATTATTTACTGCTGAGAAGACGTTAGCAAGCTTAAACGCAATGCCTAGAACCTAACGTACAGGAAAAAACCAGGTACCACGATTTCCGCAGCCGGAACTCAAACCCAATAGAAATTAAAACGATGTTTTGTCCTCTTCCCACGCCCTCAGTGGAAGGCGTCAGCTGGGATAAAGGTGTTGCATTGTTCGGTCGCATGCATTTCCAGCGTGCATGATTACCAATTTTATGCATGGAGCTCGGTCGTTTTTTCCGGTAAATGCTCGTTCGTTGAAGAAATGCGAGTCCAGCGGAGCCGAGTTCTACTAGTTGCCGTGGTGGCGTAGGGATAGGTCGAAACCAGCATCGCTGGTCCTTGCTCCCTTTCCGCATTTCTACATCCCTTACCAACAATCTCCCCTTCCCGCTCCCCAGTCGAGCGGAGCCGAATTTTAGCAATGGCCCAGCAACTGTGGCACTTCCAGCAGCATGCATTGAATAGGACGGGGGCATAGATTTTCTTTTGCCGTCGGGATTTTGGCACATCGATCACGACAGTGATGCAAGAATTATCCAGAGTTCATGGACGAGAAATGAGGAAGTTGTTTGTGAGCATAAAAAAACGGTAAGTTGAATGGGTGATGTTAATTTCAGGCAGAATGGAGGTGAGTTTGAGCGATGCCGAAAAAATGTTCATAATACACGGAGCGCAGGTTGGGCTACGAGCCGATGGACGCGGGTATGTGCTTTCCTTTTTTTGTTGCGGAATCGAAACATTCCTATTCGATTAACTAGCTTTAATATTAATTCCAACGAAATGTTTCATACAAGTTTTAAATAAATTTCTTTTTTTTTCTTTGATTTCTTGAGACATCCCGAAGAGGTGGGGGTTGGAGGTGTTCAACCTGGAATCGATCGGATGGCACCAATTAAATGAGGTAGCGGGTTTTTTGGTCGCTATGAGACAATACAAACAAGTTGCTGGGGGCACATACACACACACACACACACACGCACACACGCACACACACACACACGCATGCATACACACAAATACACACACACACACACATGCATACACACAAATACGTACACACATACATACACACAAATACACACAGACAACCCCGTGACAATATTCGTTTTGTACTGCTGTTACATAGCATAAAAAGCATAACAAGCAATCAAATTCAGGCCCCAGAGCTGCCGAATTTTCCATGAACAAACTCATCCTGCAGCTGGGGCTTCCCGCAACGCTTGAACTTATCGGTGTTTTAGGGTAGGGGCAAAAAATACCGGTGGACTAGCGATCTGGCGGTACTTCAGTTTATTGCAGGCCACTTGATTATCGACCTATTGAAATCCAGACAGGTGTCCTGGCGACAACAAATGGCTCGGCACGTGTACGATTGGCTTCAACCGATTTGCTGATCGGTGTCAAAGCCGAACTGGTAACAGTGGACGATATGGCCGAGTATCGAAATCGTCTGAATTTCTTCGTGGATTGCTCGGCCAATGCTACACCTCTTTTTGCCGGTAATACATCGTTTCGTCGCAATATAAGCTTATTTTTGGACATCTCATGAGCGTGGGTTCAGCTGCACCTTATCG